TCACATCTCCTTTATCGTATTGTTTGTCCATCATCAAAAAGGGGGACGATTGTGTGGCCTTTCTTCAGTGGGTTGAGTGACGATTTAACCCAAACCACATTTACTACTAATGTCTCTTGCTTTGTTAGTGTTTGTGCATCTATGTATTGTTAGGAGCAAACATACCGTAGTTGGCAGATGGACTGGATTGCGCCATAAAACGCGATTATCAAATGGAGGTTTGCGCTGGAATTTGGAGTGAGCATCGGTACCAATTCAAGTTCACCCGATCCAAGTTTATTCATCCGCATACGTGCTACCAAGTTGAGTGCTACATAGATCAATCATGTATCATTGCTTTGGGTATAATTAGTATTATGGCTTATTCATGTTGGTGTTAATTCTATAAGCTTCAACATACAGCACTCTATCTCATTTGTGATTTGTTCGTACTATAAGTGTTCTTTACTGCAAAATAAGTTTTGGACTATATTTCTACTTATCATATCAACATACTTTTATTAGTCACATCCACTCACTCAATATTCCATAAAGCTTTTTCAAAACTTTGCTTCTTGAGCACAAACACTAAAACATACAAACAATGTTTTTCAATATATACGTCTTTCTTAGTGATAATTGCGAATACATATTGTATATTTTTTCACACTATATTTAAATATATGCAATTGAGATAATTCTTTTTCTATCATGTTTTGGTTTTTCATAAAAATCGCAAATTTTTCCCCACCCGCCGCCGTCTCCCACACGCCGGCACCCCGCACCCGCCGACGACGCTGGCCAGCGCACTGCCCGCCCCCCCCGCTTCTTTTTCGCCCCTTATTTCTTTCTCTCCTATCTCTGTGTCTTCTCGCTTTTTTGACGGCACGTAGAATCGATCTCCGCTTTCTTTCTTATCTTCTGTTTTCTTTTATGTTTTGTGTCCACTTCCTGATTGTTTGTTGAATTGCTTGTTTTTTATTTTGTCTGTTTTTTCTACACGAAATCTCACCCGCACGCCCAGACCGCTGCCTCGCTTCCATTCGTGCGCCCACCCCGCCGCACAGCGTCCCGCGCCCGGTTCTCCGCCCCGCGCCGCCGTCCCGCGGCGCCCGACGCGCAATAGCGCTCGCTGCACTGCCTCTTTCACAACAACCTAGATCCGAAGTCTTCACCTTCCATAATGAGCAAAAATGATATTCAAATATAAATTGCGTTTCGCCACTTCAACCATCCGTAGTATTGATCTACATGCTTTTAGGAAACCTATCTCAAGAGAATCGTTGTGATCAGTTTGTTGAAGTCTGAAACTTACCATTTTGTGCCTCACCGACACACATAGACATTTTACAACAACTCTGCGCTCATCCAGCGCGACTTTCGAGAAACTGGAACTTCGCCTCTCTTGTATTAGACATGCTATTGCTCTCGCACTGAGAGACAGCGAACCTCAAGACGCAGCGTTGTTCCATCAACTCAAAATTCCTTCCCTCTCTGACGATGGTGTACCTCTGACGACCTGTTCTCGACCGCAAGCAACTTCCCGAAACAAAAGCATCTCTCCATAATGCTGTATGAGAGTGCATCCCCCTTCACCTCACTCTTTGGGACAAATTGAGTGCTTCAACTAAGATGCAGCATGCCGCGCTGCAACTAGCTAACACCCAGTGCAACTCCGCGCCACGCGGCACCCGCTCCGCCGGAAAAACAGTGCGGAGACCAGCCGCGCCGGCCAAACGATCGAGCGAAACGAGCGACACGGCACCTCGTCTTCTGGGAACGCTCTGCGCCCTCCATAGACCCAGCCGGAGCCGTACCGGCCTCTCATACCACCTCGTCACCAAGAGCACGGGTCACGCGGCTCATCCGCACACTCACTACGTCCCCGTCTTTCTTCTCGTCCTCCCTCTCCTCTGCCCCTGGCTTCAGCCTTAATCTTGGGATTTGGGCCTTGTTGTCATGGCCTATATATCCTACCCCATGCCTCATATTCTAAGGGCACATCCAGAAAATGTTTTTAAACACAGTCTTTAAAGAGTTTTAAACAGGGTTTAAGAGTGTTCTTTCAGTGTTTGTTTTGGCTTTGAAGGATGTTTCACAATGGAGGAGAATCGATCTTCTTGTTTGCGCGCTCCAATCTCCATCCCTCTCCCATCTTGTCCATCCTATGGCAGAGAGTTTTCTAACTGCAATCTCTAGCTTTACATTTCATACGTACCCCGGCTCTTGTTTCGATTACATCCCAGTGTTCTAAGCTAGATTTTATATCTGAGTTTACGTTGATTTGATCTTTATTTATCTCTTGTGGCAGCACCACACCACAATTGAGCATTATTGTCATTCTCATACATTCGTCATCAATTTCAGCGTTGTTGGGATTGTTGCTGACCTCTAGAGAGTCGATCCCTTACATTGAGTTCGCGTCATCCTATTGTACCGATGAACAATCTTGTTGATTTTGAGCTAATTTGTCTGACGAGTCACGCTTGTAATGACCACTTGTACACCGCGAGAGAAGTGTAGTGGTGAGGAGACGCGCGCGCTCAACATCGCAAGCAGGAGTCGGGCGTCGGTGTGACTGGGCCTCAGCGGAGAGGCGTCTGTACACCGATTGCCACTCTTGAGGAGGAGAACCGGGCCTAATGGACAAAAACACTCCTAGTGCTAGGTGAGGTGGATTCATAGTCGATCGTATTCGTGAGGATGTAAACGTTGTTCGGTGTGACACGTAGAAAACCCGGTTGTGATAGTGGAGATCTCCTCCGGGTGACCCGGAGCGGGGCGTAGGTTCGTGGGGACCGAACCCTCGTAAACAATCCTTCGTTGTTTTGATTGGGCATTTTGGCGCAACTTGTTTTCATGTTGCATCACTTAAGCATGCGTCCATTGTGTACTGCTGCTTATGTGGACTCATTTTGGGCCCCTATCACTATTTCTGTAGTTAGCTTATTGTTCTACCGCCTTGTGTCTAGTTTTCTATCCTGTGCGATATATCATTTCAGGCATATAATCCCTGCTTTGTCTGCTTTTCATTCGGCTCTATCCTAGCTTACAAATATTGTTTTCTGTACGTCTCTCATACTTGCATAAGATCAGATTACATCCTGATTCCTTAATTGGCATTTAAATCGGATTAGATTAGCATAAGACCCTAATCACCCCCCCCTCTAGGGTCTAACAATGACCGCATCAGAAGAATGAGATATTTCTGGCCTTCTATAATGAGTGACGCAGCCGTGTATGCCCGAAAGTGTCATGCGTGTTAGATACACATGAATTATATGCACCAACCTCCGGAGCATCTGCATCCTTCGGTTACATCATGGCCGTTCGAGACCTGGGGAATGGATATTGTTGGTCCTATAAATCCCCCGTCAGTCAAAGGTGACCGGTTCATCCTAGCAATTACTGACTACTTCTCCAAATGGGCTGAAGCGATTCCGCTCAGAGAAGTTAAAACGAGCAACGTCATTGCGTTCATCAAACACCATATCATCTACCGGTATGGTGTCCCAAGACGAATCATACATGACAATGGTCCTCAATTCATCAGCAACGCCTTCATCAGGTTTTGCGAGAAGTTCAAAATTCAAGACGTCTCGTCAACGGCTTATAATCCCACAGCAAATGGATTGGCTGAAGCCTTCAATAAGACAATCATAAAGCTTTTGTCAAAACT